TATATATTTGTATTAATATATTTATTTATGTATTTATTTATGTATTTACATTAATGTTTATAGATGTCTTAGATTTCTCTAATAACTATTGAATAATATAGGTATTATTATATGATAACAAAAACAAAATAGGTAATAGGAATCTATGCAGAAAACAATGCGTATTTACCTTAATAAATAAATTTAATATTAACGGCAACTACATAAAGTCGAAAAGATAAAGAACACTAATGTACGTTTCGGTTCTAAGTCTTTACTGAAGGTTTTACTGAATGCTAAATCAAAGCCGAAACATATGTTATTGTTTTTTTCTTCTCAACCTATTGTCTATTTTGTTTTTGTTATTGTATTTTTTTTTTATTTTAGAAGTTCTTTTATCGCCATTACAAGGTTGCCACAAAACTGGAGATCAGAAAATTGTAAGAAATTAAAGATAGTCGGAAAAATTAGGAAAAAGTTAGGAAATTTTACAAAATTTTCTGGGAAATTAAAATTCTTGACTTTAAAGAAGTTTAAGGTAGTATTACATTTATCGTATGACAAATGTGGTTCATTTGACACTACAAATGTTTCGAAATTTTTAATTAATTATGGAAGAAAGAATTTTACTAACTGACCAATCAAAAAATACTCAAAGCATTTGCAGCATCACGTGGATTGTAACAACAGATTTTAAGTTGATTGATTGGCTATAGAATAGAGATCCGACAACTTCTCTTTTCTATCATAGGCTTGAAAAATTGCTTTGTTGTATGACAAATGTGTACAGAACAGAGAGAAGTCGGATCTCTCTATCCCATAGCTAATGAACAGGCTTGAAAAATTCGTCATCCAACAAAAAATGCATGTAATATTTGGCTTAATATATAATGTATGTTATACCTACACAGTTTTGGAATACTATCAACTTAACAATTAAAATTGTAATGTCAACAATATTAATAATAATTTATATTGTTATGTTAAATTAATTTCTCAACAAAATATTTAACAGTTTCCAAATTAGAACGAAGACACAAAACATTTCAAAATATTATTGAAAGTCAAGAAAAATCATGAAAATTTGTCTGAAAATCAGAAATAGAATTTTAAGATGAAGAATTTATGACAACCTTGTAGATTTCTATTGACATATGAACTTTCCGAGAATTAGGAACAATTAATGTCATCGCTATAATTAATTCACTATGTTATATTTTGTAATTAGATGGTACCAGGTAATAGCGGACAAACACAGTTCCAAAGAGTGGCATTGCCTAACGCTGAACTTCTCGAAGAAGAACCATTATATGTCAATGCAAAACAGTACAGACGGATATTGAAGCGTCGTCAAGCTCGTGCTAAATTGGAAGCTGAAGGGAAGATACCTAAGGAAAGGCCAGTAAGTATCCTTCAATTTTTTTCGGACTTCAAAAATGAGCTTTTTAAAATATATATTTAAAATTGAGATTTTTATATTTATTTGAATATATTTATTTGAAACTTTTTAGTTTATTTTGAATACTATGTGGAATAATATGTGTGGAATATAAAATTATATATATGTTGCAAATTAATATAAATGCATTAATTTTTTTATGTTACATGCTGTCATATTCATTTGCAACATATATATTTGAAAGAGATAAAAACAACAAAAAATTTAATTTCAGAAATATCTCCACGAATCTCGTCATCGACATGCGATGAATAGAATTCGTGGTGAAGGTGGCCGTTTCCATTCAGGTCAAGTGAAAAAACGAAAGTAAGTGATTACTTTGTACATACATATATATTTTTTAATACACGTTTTTCTTGTAAAAGAATAAGAAACAGTGTCTCATCTTGGTAATTTTACGCATATAAGAGTATAATGGTTCCAGTAGACAAAATGCAAATCGCTCCACGATTACCCAGCACATCACAACCTCAACCAGCACCGATAACGTTCATGTAGCAATAGCAGCTGCAAATGTAGGTGTACAATATCACGACACAGACAATATGGTATCCACGATTGTACTTGAAGTAAGATAATAGTTTCTATTCTCTCAGAGTCGCTTGTGATTTCGCAGAATGCGAATTACATTTGTCGTTTTCTAATTGTTTGTTGCAGAAGCCAAATATTCCTCTGCAAGATATGATCTCTGATGACGACATTGTTACTTCAAACAGTCGCTTGATGTAGATAATATTTGGAAAATAGTTGGAAAAAGGAACAAGAATTATGTGTCAGTGATTATATTGAACATCTACATTTTTTGTATGTGTAAATATTCTTGGTGCGATGTATAATATAATTCATACAAAGAATGTAATTTTTCGATATGAAACTGTACATAAAGTATTCCAGATTACATTTTACTTTAAATTTCTCAACGAATTTAGATATTTTTTTAATAATGATCAAAGACTATTTTAATGAAATAAATTCTATTTGAATTTCTAAAAATAAAAATAAAAAACAAGAATATTCTTGTCATAATATTAGATATCAATGTTATATTACAAATTCATTACAAAATGCCTATTTTTTGCCTATATATTTCAACAATTAAAAATCTAAGGTTTATTTGAAATCAGTTGCAGAATATGAAAAATGATCGAATATTTAATGATGTTTGATATATAACATATTACAAAAATATATATTAAAGAAAATGAAAATAAATAATTTTGACATTCAACAATTTTGTTAAAGAAAATAAATTAATTTCTAAATTAGCAAAAAAATGTGTTTTCTATCGTTCTGGAGCACTTTGAGTATGTATACATATGTGTATATATGTATACGCATACACACACATACGCACACACACAATTTTCAATTTTATATATATATATATATATATATATATACTCTCGGAAAGATATTTTAATACTGTTAATTACATCTGTGTTGTGTTGCGTCGTGATTACCACAATGTCATCATCCTGATCTTTCAAAGGGAATTCATGTACCTTGCATATACATATATAGTTTTTATGTTTGTGTAATTACGTTGCGCAATCGCGCAAGCGCTTTTCTGGAAGTAAATACTTTTCTACATCAATATACAATATCGGATTTAAAGACAATACCACTGAATTAACAGGCTTACG